TCAGGTCAATAGCACATTGTCATAGACTGAAACCAAGAGAATTAATTTTATTTGTTCATTGTTAATGTGGTTAGGCAATTTATTGTTAATTGCAGTTTGTTTAATGTTGTTCAATTCGTTATATGTCCAAAGAAGAAATTATTTTTGTCCAATAAATCATTGTTTTCTTTCATAACAGCTATTTTGTATCTGTGAGGACATTCACTTTTGTAGTTAGTAAACACAAATTTCTGCTAGTAGCATTTTTTTATCAAGTGGGATGGTAAAGTTATAGCTGTTGGCACTGACTTAGACATTGAGGAAAGAGAATTTATTATTATTAAGTTCATAAGTAAAGTTTAGGTATTTTCAAAGTTTTCTTTCATGTTTTTATTTTGGTTTTCTAATATGAAGATGTCATTGCTATATCATAGGTATATGACAGGGTTGGTAGAATTATTGAAGACTTTGTTTTCGACATGTGAAATTAGATAAGTTAATACGAGATGTTTAGGGTATAATGGGAGAGAGCTAAGGAAGAAGGATTTATTCTCCCAATTTATTTCCCCCATTATGAGTATTATTATACTCATGATATAATAATAACAACATAATTCACAGGTGGAACAGAAAGGCTGAATGGAAAAGGAATGACAAACATGCTTCATTCTCAGAAAGACAGAGTGTAAGAAGAAACAAAAGGAAGAGTCTTACATATAATATGGAGATACTGAGAAGCCATGTTTAGAACTACAAATTCAAACAGGCTGGATTCATCTATGCCCCAGACAAGGACATATTTCACAAGTAGGAAATGTTTCATGATTTTTTCCAGATTGTGGACTGCAAAGTGGAGTTCCTTTCTATACCTGGGAAAGATATATTCCTAAAGAGAAACAGTACCATGGACTTCTAAGCTTCTGGGGAGGAAGATTTAGCCTCTGTCTAGGTCAAGGGGTCCTGGGATAAAGAAAGTAACCTCTTGGTTTTGCTAGTGTAAACTGACCAAAAATTGACTGTCACTCTTGTCACCATATGATGTCACTAAGCAGCTGCCATGTGACCCACTTGACTTATCTCCACCAAAGGGAGATAAATGCCTTCTCTATCCATACAAGGGTTTTTGCTAATTGCTATATGGGAGTTGGGATTTATGAGATCATGGGATGTAACAGAGCGTTAGGTTTGTGTGTTTCTACATTCTAGTATAAGCAGCCAGAGTAAATACTCACGAGCACTTTCATAGAGTTTAAGCAATCCAATTTTTACGATGTTATCCCTAATCAGCTTACTAATCTGTATCTTGAAGAGGCTGATGGTATTTTTTTAGGTTTTTAAAATATCATTCACTACAGGAGATTTGAAGTTCATATGATATATTTAATGTCTGCATATATTAAGAAAAAAAAATAATAGTAATCACATTCTTTTCATGTGACCTCATTCACGATAACCATTACACATGATGTCACCATAAACTATTCCAAACTTCAAGCTTTCCAAAGAATAATGGGATGCAGGCAAATTCTAACTACCACAAAGACACCACCTTGGTTCTTGAAAATGACTGAGATGGTCAAAAGTATTTGAACAAAAATAACAAAATATGAACTTTGGACAGTTTATCCACAATTTTGAGTACAATACTCAACAGCTTATCAGAAAATTGGCAAAAATAAAATAAAAATTAAACACATATATATATATTATATATACAGGTATGATGAGAATGATTAGAGTACAATTCCAATGTTTGTAACATTTAATTTAAAAGATGACTCAATACAAAATACAGCAATACACTTACATGAAAAATTGGAAACTATCAGATGCAATAAAAATTCCTTATTAAATCAAAGAAATGAATTAACAGTAAATAGTCAACATAGTTTACCTTTTACCTTACAATTTAGTTAAAATTTAAAATTTGATTATGCTTTTTCTTATATTTTAATTGTACTGTGTTGCACCATCTATGGCTTATCTTTCTATTTGTAAGATTAATTTGGATATAATTTTGAATTAATATCCTGGTGGTATTAGTAACATCTTGTATGGATGTATTGGTATTTAGTTGGTATTTTTGACATTTTACATTGATCGGTTATTGTTATTCACATCTTATATTGAAGAATCTTTATTCAACAATCGCATATTAATTTATCAAATAATTCCATATGTTTAAATTAATTACGAGTTTCTTAAAGAAGCTATTTATCAACTATAAAAAAAATTTATGCAGGAAATTCACAAAGCATATAGCTTGTTTAGGATTTTGTTAAATTACCTCTCTACCGAATTTTTATTTCTTAAGAAACAACATTGTCAAGTTTGTATAATTTATGTAACCATTTGCATCCACTCTCGCTTATGTCTGTTATCTACTAGTCTATAGGTCATAACCCATTTATAAAAAAATAATTTTTAATTTTTGCTTCTTTGCTTAGTTTACATTTAACATAGGTGATATTTGATTGGTTGATCAAAGTAAATCCCACAAACCTTAAAACATCACTTTTTTTTTCATAAAAAAGATTGTATTTTGCTTTTAAATCTAAATAAATCATTCACTCACTAGTAATTTACAATCACCTGATGAGATGCATTGAAACATGACTGCAATTGTGTAGCAATTTTGACATGTTTTTGATGTAATATACTAATATATATATATATATATATATATATATATATATATATATATATATATATATTATAAATTAATTGATTTAAAATATGTTTTTTTTCGCTACACAGTTCTAACCATGTTTCAAAAATGCTCTGTAAATTTACATTGAGCACTATTTTGTAAAAATAAAAATATCCATAAGAACACCGGATTATATATCTTACTGTTCTTTCTTTTATATATATATATATATATATATATATATGAAGAAATCTTCGATTGTTTTTTGATATACAAGGATCCAGCAGCTAAGTTCATAGAACCAAACAATCAGACAACCCAAACATATGATTAGATTATAGTGGTGAAGCCTTATCCAGAATAAACCATATTTTTTCAAAGAGACAAATACAGAAAACTAGTGCACAGCATGAAATATCTCCAAAAGACTCTCCTCAGGTTTTGAAGTCAAATTAAGAGTTGTCCTTCTTCTAGACCAGTTGCCAGACAAGACTATAGGACCCAGTTAGTTTTTCTATTTATCCATAGAAGAAGAGATGGATTAATACCGTTCTTAGCATCTAAGTTAATGTAATGAAGTCAATTGGAATTCAAACCAGGCTCTCCAATTCTTCATTCCATTAATCCATTGCATTTCCACATACAAACTATATATATATATATATATATATATATATAGCGTATATTTTGGCCACATGTTTTCATTAAGACATGTTTCATTAAATAATTTAGTTTTGTGTACTTATTTTTAATATAATTCTTTTCCTTTATTAAAAATATTTAGGTATTTCAATAACTTAGTTACCTCCCCTTGATATTTGTATGCACATCTACTTAATAAAATTGTACAGTACATAACATTAGTGTTTTTCAATTCACATGTAAAAATTTAATTTTTAGATGAACACTACAATTTTCTCTTAAAAAATGATGAACACAACAATTTTTTGTCTTATAAAAAACAAAACACTGATGACAAAATTGTGCTAATGTCATAAGTATTGAGAATAAAATGAATATGCATCAACATGGTAATTTTCTTTCTTCCTTTAATAAGGATACTAAGAAACTTATCGGGAATTATGAGAGGATCCTATTAAAAATAAGTAGACAAAACTTGTCTAAATTATTTAATAAGACATGTCTATATATATATATATATATATATATATATATATATATATATATATGTAAGCAAATATATGGATATAGATCTGACAGTATGAAGAAAAATATACTGAAAAAACAAACACAAATCCTAATATGGGATTATGCTGTTTTAATGTTTAATGTCAATGTCGGACGTTTCGGTCTAATAGACCATCTTCAGGACATATTCATAAAACATAATTAACATAGACCATATACAATTCAACATGAAAAAGACGATGGACATAAAAGCAATACCAATCCAAACAGATAACTGAAATCTTTTATAAGATCAGTGTTCCGTTTAAATATGATAACGTCATCGTCATGTGGGCGATGTTGTGAAAACGTATTCCTAAAATTTGAGTATTTTGAATGAAAAACGAAAAGAATTTTATTTTGATCTAAAACTTATATGTACGTTTGTCGAGCATTAATCTTGCTAGAAAAGGGGAAATATTAAAGAAGCCAGGTCTAGTGTTCTATGTTAATTATGTTTTATGAATATGTCCTGAAGATGGTCTATTAGACCGAAATGTCCAACGTTGACATTAAACATTAAAACAGCATAATCGCATATTAGGATTTTTGTTTGTTTTTTCAGTATATTTTTCTTCATATATATATTATATTTATAAATTCCCGAGAGGTTCCGATTTCTTTTTCAATTTGTAGATCTGAAGAATTGGATCATGATTACGATTCCAGTGTAATAAATTATAACCATGGAATATTAGTGTTTGAGCCTTTTATATATATATATATATATATATATATATATATATATATATATATGTGTGTGTGTATATATGTGCGTGTGTATATGCATGCATGCATGCATTATACACATATGAACACAGATTGATATAGATCATTATAGCATCTATATAAAAAGCATTTTCCTGTAAATCTCTATCTAATTTATGATGATGAATATTATAAGCTGAAAGAAGTAAACAATAAAGACAAGAAACAAAGATCAAATGGTATTTCCCCAATGATGATATCCATCATTTTTAAAACTAAAGAAATAATAAGACTGGACAAAAACAAAAGATGATGGAAAGTACAACGCAAAAGTTTGAAGAGGCTTAGGAATAAGGGAAAAATTCTTTTTACAAACTCATTCTGGTATCAAAGGTTTAAAAAATATCCAAAGAGAACTGCACCGATATGTAATGACTAATTTTCTATATACCAATAACTGATGGCATAGCTATATCACATGGAAACACCAGTTCTCATATGATCACTGAAGTTAAGCCTTGTCAGTATCTCAATGGGTGACCACTTGGGAATATCAGGTGCTGCAAGCTTGGATGTGCAGATGGTGCAGTGGATAATGCCTCAGAATTTTAACTCGGATAACCAAATTTCAATTGGGTTCACTTAAGTGCAAACACCCTTGGGAAAGGTATGAACCCTTCTCCCCCAGATATGGGTTAATTAGTAAGACTTGTATCACTAAATCATTATTATCTCCAAAAAAACAATTTAAAAATATTTGGGGGCTTTAAATAACCTCTAATGGGTTGATAAACTATAGAAATCAATCAATCAATGTGTGAATGCAAGACAATTTCAACACAAATAAGGGAATTTAAAGTGAACAAGATATGGTTCTATCAATAACTGTTGAGAATACCATGTGACAGACAAGGAAGTTTTAAGGCAAGTGGGCACTTCAAAGAAACTGTTTTCAACAATCCAAAAAGGACAGTCGAAATTTGGGGAATACATGTTAAGGAAAGAAGGCTTCAAAACTTGATACACACAAGGAACACTTAATGCAAGAGAAGCAAAGTAAGACTGAGAATCATATGAGAGAAAAATTGCTGAAAGGAAGATGTGGAAATTCATAATCACCTACATTCTGAAAGGAGACGGCACATTGAAGACCAAGATCTGGTTCTACTAAACAATGTTGAGAATACCATGAGTCCAGCATGTAACAAAAAAGAAAATTTCAAAGAAAATAGGTACCATAAAAAACTATTTCTAACAATCAGAAAAAAAAAAACAGTTGAAATTTTAAAAATACATGGTGAAGAAGGAAAACTTAAAATGATTAACACTATATTTCCCTTTTTATGATCCCTTGTGATCAGATAAAGAGAAATATTGTTGAAAGGAAGATGTGGAGATCCATAAACATCCACATTCTGGAGAGACATGATACACTGAAAGAGATCCATAACATGAAGGTGGGTAAAGTAGCTAAGGTTTAAAATACTTCTAAAGATATAATTAATATTTTTTGAAAGCAAAACAAAATATATCAATATGCAAACTCTAAAATCCAAGAAAAATATAATTTCTTTTTTTTTTTTTTAATCATATCACTCCATGCAAGGAAGTAAAGTCACTGAGACACAAGAGATTAATGGGTGTGGAAGAACAAGATGAAAGAGAAACCATTACAGAGTGAGAAGAATAGAAGAGTAATCAAGACAATAGATAATGATTGGCATGACATCTAAATTTTTGAAGATCAAAGTTGTCTGAAAAGCAGTAGAGATTTCCACAAGTGAGAAGTGTGGGAAAAGAAACTGTTAGCAGAGAACTTCTAGCCATTTCAGCTGTGAATTATTGAGACCTTACCGCCAATCTAGTACTGCACTTAAATTCATAAAGCCTAGGTACCATAGTGAAGTGTTCATCTGAACAATTACCATGAAAGTATTTATAGAAAAAGCACAAGGAATCTACATTATGGTGGTAGGAAAGTGACTGAAACTGAAATGTCAGGTCAGGGCCAAAAATATTGCTGATTCTTCTTTGGATTTTATTGAGAATCTCCAAATATACTGTGAGAGTACAGGATCAGATGTGACAGTAATATTAAATGCATGGATGAATAGTAAACATAAATATGCAAGACAGATTCTGGAGAAAAAACTTGTACAGCATGACAATAAACTGACATTCTTGGCAGAAGACCTAGCAATGGATTCAATATACTTTCCACTTCATGTCACCCGAGAATGTTAGACCAAGAAGGTGCAACAAGTCACTCTGATGGAGGTTAGCATCAGCCACGTTGATGGGAGGCAGGAAGGGGGTCTTTCAGGTGATTAATAGAGAAAAGTATTATTTTGTAGACATTAAAATTAACAAGCTATTCCCTACCTCAGTTAACAATAGATTGTAGGTCATTTTTTAGATCACCTGTCAATTTCACCTTATTGAATTGATCAGATTTGTTATTGAGACAGGAGTAAATGGTCATGTCATCAGAATAGATACCAAGTTGAGAACTGATGTCATCAAGAAGGTTGTTGATGAAAATTAAGAACAAAGTAGGTTCAATGATAGAGCCCTGGGGGACACCTGCATTATCACAAAAAAAGATCTAGAAGAGTGGCCATTCAGGATAACTTTTATTTTGCTTAAAATATTTGTTTATCTCATTTTTAATTAATCACCATTCATCTTTTTAGATAACTAATTTGTACAGTATATATATATATATATATATATATATATAAATAAAATAGAAAAGATTAAATTTGAGATGGTAATTTAGACTCACTTGACAAATGATCTTAGAGTTATTTCTGAAGATAATGGAAAAAATTCTTTTAGTTTATGAAACTGAGTCAGCCGTTAAAAAAATATTTCAAATGAGATCTCAAAATGCCTCTCCAAGATTTTATAAATAAAACTTAACTCAGCAAATGAGAAAATAATTCTATGAATGCTAAAATTTATCAATGTTGATTTTTACGAGCCTGGTTTTTTGATCTTTGCATTGGATCAGCTTGTAATGTCTGCTTTTAAGAATATGAAGGAAATGGCCAATCCAGAGGTCTTATTCACAGCATTGTTATAACCAGTCATCTGATTGGTCAAAAATGAGCCAATGACAGTCCAGCCTTGTTTCCACATAGGTAGACAATTTAAACTCTCTCTCTCTTTCGATGACCAACACCAAAACAGTAAAAATAGTACTGAGCTGCTTTCTGACTGCCATTAACATGTAAAACATGTACCATATGAATAAATATCTCTCATTATATATATATATATATATATATATATATATATATATATATATATTTTGATATTTCATGTTATTTTAATTTCATGTTTCTTTAGTAGTGTCTCATTATTAGAAGTGGATCCACATTGTGTATAACTGTAATGGTGTCTGCAACAAGCTCAAAGCATAACCAGAATGATATAGTTTTTTTTTAATCATTTCACCCCCAGGCAAGGCCGGAATGCCGCTAGTACCAAGGGGTTACAGAGAGTGAAAGTAAGAGAAAAGATTGAGTATAGGGAAGATTGAGGAAAGAACAACAGATGAATGGCATTCAAGAAGATAGAAGATGGCAATTGACATTGAATTTCGATTTTTGAAGATCGTAGTTATCAAGGAAGCAAGTAAATGGAAAGGAGTTCCACAATTGGGAAGTGCAAGAAAAGAAAGTGTTGGAATAGAAGGGGTAGTTGCATTTAGGTATTTCAACAGTAAATGGGTGGGACCTAAATGTCAATCTAGTGGCACACTTAAATACATGAAGTCGGGGCACCAAGGAGAAAAGCTCATCAGAGCAGTTGCTATGAAAATATTTGTAGAAAAGACAATTCTATCAAAATTATTCATTTTGGCTTGAGACTGAGACTAGGAAAAAACACAATTTTACTGTGTTTCTTCCTAATCCTAGTTAATTACAAATCAAATCAAACTAAACTAAAAGTAGCTTATTATTTTTAAGTTTCAATGCACCATTCCCAAAAATGTTGCTACAAAATTAGTTTCTTATGATTGTCTTGACGTGTCGTGTCCAAAAGAGACACACCAGCAAGAATATTATTTCTGACAAGTCTATACCTCATCTCAGAAATATAGACAGACTCTGAAGTCTAACCAAAATGGGAAGATCTGAAGTTAGTGAATAGATTGAAACAAAATTATAAGACATAGGATGCATCATGGTGCTTATGCTGATTCAGTAGTTAATCTCAGGCTAAATTAATGACCAATCGTGAATTAAACACAATACTGAAAATGACAAAATTTCTGTAATAACTAAATTCCATGAGAATCACTGCTATGATTATAGTAACTGGCAAACATATTTCTGCAGAAAAATAAAAAAAAACTTGTTCTGGTTTTTAGATTTTCAATACTAAGACACTTATCCTGCATTAACTAAAGAAAGATATTATGGTAAACTGGTGTACATATTAGATGCAATCAGTGAGTGACGACTTAGATTTACTACGAGAGAGGCAAAGAATTAATGCTCTTCTCTGGAAATTATCTCATGGACATAATAGTATTTAACACCCTTCAAAAACATACATTGACCAACTCACTCAAGATGGTGGAGGCAATATGGATGAAGAGAGCAACAAATTATTTTCTAACCAAAAACCTCTTTTTTTACAGAGAAAATGTTGCAAGTTCTATTGTTATTCCCATGGAAAATCTTTTAATGAACTACATTCCTTAATTCCACCAGTTCAAACAATCATGACTAAAACTTGTCATGCCACACACATTGTAGTGAATCACCCTCATTTCCTTCATATTCCCTTGGTAAAATCTAAGTTCCACTCATTTTCTTCCTACAAACCACTGTTTTCTGGAACTGACTCCCAAGAGGATGCTTTCCTGATCTTTACAATCTTGACTTGTTCAAGTCTCATATCAACCATTGTCTTCCCCACATATTCCCATAAACTGTGCCTCTTACTCTGTAACTCTCTACCTCAAATGGCTCTTGGGCCTATACAAGGTACACATCATTGTAAAAACAAAAACAATAATATGTTAAACCCTTCAAAACTACAGAAAGTTGTTTTCATGCCTAACAATGCTCCAGCTAATACTGTTAGCATAACTAATGAGTACTTTGGTAAATTTGTGTTTAAAAATGACATGCTTATGGTATGGTTGATATATTCACTGAATCTAAACCCCATTGGGAACATTTGGAGCATTGTCAAGAGATATATTTATGTTAGCAGCAAGCAATTTTTATTCAAAAACCAACTTTGAGAAGCAATATTAATTATCTGTGAAACGATTATCCCTGAAGAAATTTTCAAATTAACTTCTGTTGATAGTAGACTGCTTCAAGCCATGAGAGAGAATGGAAATTATTATGGTAAATAATATTATTTTCCTGATTTGGTGCTGCACCCAGCATGTCTTGAGCAGTTTAGTATGTCATTTCTTTAAATGAATTATTCTTGGGTTAGTCATTTGGATTCATTCTTGCCTTATATACAATTATATTTATTTCGTGGGTTGATTGTAAAAAAAGATATAATAGTCTTAAAATAATTATTTATATATTCAAG